AGCCCGTCCAGGTCCGTGGTGGAGCCCCGGGACACGATGTCAAAGAGGATGGGCCGGTTGAAGACTTTGAGGATGGGGGGCGGCTGGGGCGCGGGCGCTTTGGGGCTCTGCGGCTGCTTCCTGGAGGGGATAGGAGGCCCACACCACTGCTCCTGGCCTTAGGTGTCTGTGGGATGCGGGGGACAGCTGGACCTCTCCCGAGGGGGGCGCGTGGGGTGGAAGGGGTCATCACAAGACACTAGGGAATGATTTATCCAACATACTATTCCTAGAGCCTGCGGGGGTGCCGGGTGTGGACACAGACCAACACATAAGCCCCCATCTACTTCACCCACCCAGGTGCCTTTTACTGAGCACCTACGATATGCCAGACAGTTGGAAAGGAGACAGGGCAGAAAAATCAAGGGGGGGACATCGGATAAAAACCTAATGCCCCTCCCTCACTCATTCAGTCACATGCGCGTGCATTTCTTGTCCAACAACAGAGATGAGTGAGACCAGGCACTTCGTCTGGGACTCGGCACCCGACTCGGTGGGGCCCTGGATGCCATGTGCCTGCCGTGTCCCCCAGAGCAGGCCAGCCCACCACGCGGGAGGGGGGAGGGGGGAAGGCCAAGCTCCAGGAGGGGAGGCGACAGGGAAAGGAAGAACAGAAAGAAGAGCCAAGCCGGGGCCATGGAAATCAGTGCTGAGCCCCAGCGCCACCTCCGAGTTACGGAGGAAACGGCTCATGAAAGTGATGGCCAGGCTCCTCCACTAGGGGGGTGGAAGCCCCAGCCTTGTGGTCAGGCCGTTTATGCCACACTGGGCTGTCCAGATAAAGGAGAGAGGGAGAGATGGATGCCAAGAGAAGTTGGGGAAAGGCCTGGAGACCCAGGTCCGCCACAGACGTCATTGGCACATAGTCTGGGCTAGGTTCTGAAAGAGAGAGGGACCAGGGTACCAAAAGACCAGGTCTTGGTCCCTCCTGGGATCCCCATGCCTGGCACATCCATCCATCCATCCATCCATCCATCCATCCATCCATCCATCCATCCATTCACCCACCCATCTGTCCAGTCACCATCCGTCTAGCCATCCACTTCTCCCTTCTCCCATCCAGCATCTGTCCCCCCCTCCCGTACATCTGTCCACCCTCCTAACCTAATCAGTCTGGTGCAGTAAAAGCATGGGTGTTAGCTGCCTCAGAGTCGACCCCTACTTGGGACGAGCCCCTGAGTGCTCCCGAGGGTCGTCAAGGCTGCGACCTTTCGGAAGCAGGTTACCAGGCCTGTCTTCCGCGGCACCCTGGGTGGGCTTGAACAGTCAGCCTTTTGGCTAGTTGTTAAGCACCTGACCGTTGGCACCACCCAGGGATTCCTGTGAAATGCCTGGATGGACAGAGAGGAGGAGGAGAGGGGACCACACTGCCGGGCTGGGTGTCGCAGGGGGAGCGGCTCAGAGACTGGGGCCCCGGCAGAGAGAGCCGGCATCTGCCTCACCATGGGGGCAGCAGATCCCCGCTCTATCTCTGCATCTCGGGGGGCACTCGGTAAGGGGTCTTAGCATCAGCAGTGGGGGCCTGGAGACTCACTGAGCCTCAATGAGGCCACCTGGGCAGCCCCCACTTAACCTGAACTTTGACCTCTGCCTCAAAACAAGTAAATGAAAAGATCAACTGTCCCCAACCCTCCCAAATTCCCTGAGGAGGGCCTTTGGGGTCTCTGGGAGCCTCAGCAGCTGAGTCAGTGGTTCCTCGGGGTCCCTCCAGAGCCTTAAGCTCTGGTGCCTGGGGATGGGAGGGGTGAGGACTTAAAGAAGGGGGTCTGAAGGTGACGAGGGGGAAACACTGAGCCCCCCCAACTTCCACCAGCCCCAAGGAGGACCTTTCAACAGAGGGAGCACAGGCAGTGGGCACTTTACTGCCCTGGGCCTCGGTTTCCTCCTGGATTCCTTGCACACCATACGGGCTTCTCAGCATCTAGCCCTTCCCTCCCCCTAGAATAGTCTTCCTCTCCCTTGTGTGGCTGCTCCTTTTACGCCTGAGATTTGGGCTTAGGCTTCAGTGCCAGCTTCCTGCAGGAAGCCCTCTGGGGATCACACACACACACACACACACACACACACACACACACACACACAACCTGTCCTCACTCAAATGTGTATTTGTGTTTATTGACTTGCTGAACATCCGGGCCTCCAAACTGACGGTGCTGCAAGAGCAGGACTCTGCTCACCCCGGAGCCCCGGCACACAGGAAATACTCGATAACACTTACTACAATGAGCCCATGATTTGGTGCAGCAAGGTGGGCCGCCGCTGCCCAGACTAAGAACGTGAGCAGGCTGGCTTCATCAGAGGGCGCAGTGTGAGTCTGGCACCAGCAGGGGGCAGAGAGGGGTGTCAGAAACACCACTACACACAGGGGCCTGAGGAGGGGGTGAGGGAGTGGCTGGTTCCCAAGTCGGGGTGCACGTGGGCACAGCAGGGGCAGTGGGGCTGGACCCCACTGAGGATCGAGCTCCATCCTGGTGCAGCAAGAACAGTTGCTGGAGCTGGAGGTGACAACTGGAGGTGAGATTTGCGTCCCACCTGAAAATGACCCTTGAATTTCCTCAAGGGCTGGGGAGGGGGCTCCACCCCACAAGGCAGGGTGTCTGCAGGCCATAGCTACTCAGATCATTGTGGACTGCCAACTGTGGGGGGCTGGGCTTACAGAAAACCACACAAATCCACATAGGCCATTGCCGGGGGCAAGTGCCTAGCAGGTCTGGGGGTCTGAGGTTAGAAGCTCCCTGTCATTAAGAGGACCATACTCTGCTAGCCCACCTGGGCCCTCTCTTCACCCTCCTCTTCCTCCAGCCTCCTCGATGCCTGAG